GGATAGGAGAACATCAAAGTCGACGGTGTTAAAAGCGTTACTAAAGTCCAATAAAGTTAGCACAGTTAAGCGACTATTATCCATGCCAAGTCGGATATCATCAGTAACCTTGACTAAAGCAGTGACAGTGCTATGGCCAGGACGGAAGCCTGATTGGAGTGGATTAAGGAGATTATGGCGAGTAAGGAAATTATTGATCTGTTTATGAAGGAGACGTTCAAGCACTTTGGATAAAAAAGGAAGAATGGATATAGGACGAAACTCAGAGAGGACTTTAGGGTTCCGTACTTTAGGCAAAGGGGCAATCTGGGCGTCTTTCCAAGCAGAAGGAAATGTAGCTTTAGAGATTATACTGTTGAAAAGGAAAGTTAAGACCGGAAGGATAAAGTCAAGAACTGGTACTAACATATTACGACTTATGCCGTCGCTACCTATTGCATTTGAAGTAGCTGAGAGTAAGCTCGTCTTAACATCACAATCCGATAATTGAACAAAAACAAACGGAGGGAAGTCCGGTATTGGTAAGGTGGAAAGATGACGAAGAGTGTTAATTTTAACGGCTGTATCAATACCCGTAGAAGAGGAAAAATAATTATTGAGAGAATCCAAATTAATTTTAGGAGAATCCGTATCTTCCTTTGATTTTCCAATACCAAGCGATCTAAGAAATTTCCAGACTTTAGGAGTATCTTCAATACTGACAGAATTATGAATGTGACGGCGTAATGCATCTCTACACACCTTATTGCAGCGATTACGAATTTTAATATAGGTATCTTTATTATGGTCACTTGGCCGACTTTTATATTTACTCTTAGCAGAAGCCTTTCTATGCATCAATGATTTTATATCATCCGTAAGCCAGGGTGCAGGAAGATGTTTTAATTTAATGGCTCGAAAAGGTGCATGCTTGTCATATAACTTTATGACCAAAGCATTGAAATGTGCCACTTGCTCATCCACAGTCTCTGCAGAAAATACGGGCGACCAATCAATACTACATGCTTCCTGAAGAAATGCTTCACGATTCATACCACTAAAATTACGCTGAAGAATAATCCTAGGCTTAGGCTTAGGAGGACGAATTTTATAGGACATATAGATAAGATCATGGTAAGAAAAGGCATCAGCCGAACATTGACCATGCTTCGCAACATGCTGGGGTGAAGATACAATTATTAAATCGAGAAGAGTTGGGGTACAATTTGGAAAATGGTGAGTGGCACTAAGAGGAAGAGTATGCATGTTGCTAGCATTAACTATAGATTGGAGAGAGAAAGTACGGTGATCATTTTTGAGGAGACAAGTATTAAAGTCACCCATTATAATTGTATGACTGTAAGATGGAGCAAAGGTATCCAACAGGCTTTCAAAGGCAGTAAAATAATTAACATTTAATGATGGACTATAGTAAACTCCGAGAAGAATCTTGGTGTGCGAGAGAAGGATCTCTACCAGAAGATGTTCACCAGCATTGGAGGGAGGCGGTTGAGTCGAAGTGCTAATAAGAGTGTAGGGAATTTGTTCACGGAGGTAAATAGCTACTCCACCACCCCCAGATCCAATGCGGTCATTTCGTATAAGACGAAAGCCGGGCAATACATATGATGATGACGGTAGACATGGTTTCAACCAAGACTCGGAGATTAAAATCGCATGTAGGTTCAAATGATTAAGTGACGCCAGCATGTCAGAATAATGAGCCGGGATACTTTGTGCGTTAATATGTATGACATTGAAATTTTTTGCAACATCAGAGAACTGATTTTCAAGGAAATCAGAAAGGGACGGGCAACTACTAAAACTGTTATCGCTACCATTGCACTCATCAGATGATAATGAAAAATATAGTTCATTGTCACTGTTAGAGCATGCATCGGACATAATAATAAATTTTATTAAATGTATATTTAAACAAAATAAAATAAATACTTAAATAAAGTAAATAGATAATAATAAGAGATAATAATACTACGATAAAACTGTTAACTAATTAGATTAGAACTCCACCTGCCGGTTGATAGAAGTATAACTAAACACTATTTCAAGTCTTACAAAGAAAAGAAAAAAAAGACACAAAAAAAAAAAAAAAACATGTGAAACGAAACGCATTCACAAAAATACATTAAAATGTTAAAAGCAAAAACATGATTTATGTTACAAAAAAAAAACAAAGGTTAAAAGAATTATTAATAAAAATAAAAAACAATACCTAAAGATTTGGCTGTATGGCCTGGCACTTAGCCTTCAACACAATGACAATTATTTATGTTTAAAAAAAAAACTCTAATGTCAATTGTCAATGACTTTTTCCATGACAACAATTAATGTTTGTTCAAATTACCTTAAAAAGTGTATTTAGATTAGATAAAAAAAAAAAAACAGTGATTAAACGTGGGTAAACAAGATTAAAATGCAATTCTTAAACGACAATTATAAGATACCTGAAGACTGTTTGTTAAAAGAAAAACAATAGTCCAAACAAAGAAAACATACGTTTCGGTTTCAACGTTAGTAATTACAATACTACACTGCTACTTCTTGGACACAGCAGCTGCCCGTTTACCTCTTGTCGCCACCGAGGGTTCCTTTGATGTACCAGTATTTTGCACAACCGGCACAGGATTTTTTACTGGATCAGCAGATTGTGTGACCGGCACAGGAATCTTGTCCAGTTCAACAGCCGAAGTAATGCGAACTCGCTTGCCGTCTGCACCAACAACTATTATTACTCCATGTTGAGTAAAACACCGGCTAATACCGAATTTTGCACGAGCTGCCATAAAAGCCTCATGTCGTGTCTTCGTAAGGAATTCCGAAATGGTAACGCCAGAACCCTTCAATACTTTCTTGGCGTACCAAATTTTGTCGCGCATTCCGTATTCACGCAGCTCAAATAAAATAGGACGTGGTTTATCAGTACCAGGTGTACGGCCCATGCGATGACTGCGGCTAATATCTTTAACACTGAAACCAGACACTTTCATCTGATTTACAACCCGAGCAACCAATGCTTCAGTGTCTTCATCCCTCTCCTCTGCTACGCCATGACACAGCAACATCCTACGCCGACTCCGTATCTCAATTGTGTCAACTTGACGTGCAAGAAAGCTCATTTGCTGCTGAAGGCTTTGTAGTGCAGTCAATATAAATGCTCGGAAAGCCACAAAGTCATCCCTCAAGCTGTTAATGCTAACTGATGGGGTAGCCGCCTGCAATTCACACTGATAAGCATCCATGCGCTGAGTGAACAGATGTTGGAGATTTGAGATAGAATCCTGTAAGGCTTCCATGTTGAGATAATTTGAAGCAGTGAGTAGTGACGAATAACTGAAGGTGTCCAAAAATATGATGTTTCAGAGATAAACTGTGGATAACACTCACCGGCAGGTATTGTGAGTTACTTATTCATTTCCCATAAATAATAAAAACTATTTCAACTTAAATATGTTTTAAATAAATTTAAATTTTAGAGCACTTAAACAGATGTTTTTATTTCACACCTACCCACCAAAAAAAAAAAAAAAAAAAGAAAAAAAAAAAAAAAAAAAAAAAAAAAAAAAAAAAAAAAAAGAAAGAAAAAAAAAGAAAAAAAAAAGAAAAGAAAAAAAAAAAGAAAAAAAAAAAAAAAGAAAAAAAAAAGTAGTAGATTGATCCTTTTTATTGTCTACTTTTATGTAGGTACTTGATTTCCTCCTCTTCTAAAATGTTTATTTGTCTAAAAAGGAGAGTCGATTAAAGATTATCTTATTTATCATCATCATCATCAGCCTATTAATGTCCCGACTGCTGGGGCACAGGCCTTCCGTATGGATGGAATAGGGAGATTGGGCCATGACCCACCACGCGGGCCCAGTGCGGATTGGTGGGTGCTAACGACTGCAGATACAGCCGGGACCAACGGCTTAACGTGCCTTCCGAAGCACGGAGCAACTCGAGATACTTTTGAGATTTTTGATCACCCATCCAATGACCGGCCACTGCGAAAGTTGCTTAACTTCAACGATCGCAGCCGAACGCGCTAACCACTTAAACCACCGAGCTCCACATCTTAATTTTTAAATAAGAAAAAACTTATTTATACAATAAATAATTTTAATTATGAATTTGACGTTTCATTTTGTATCTCTTGAATTCAATTTTTTTTCCTAAGTAGGCCCTGCTCTATAGAAAGTATAAAAACTATACTGACAAGTCTTGTACGTGCAAAAGTATTTTTTTTTCTAGTAAAATAAATATTTAATAGTTAATAATAGTGTTTAAATGCTGCGGAGGTTAAATCATCTTGCAAATAGGTACCTATAACACTTTTTCAAATCTATCTAACCTGACAAATTATGTAATACAAAAATCTCGAATATACTCTTTATTGCATAATGGTAGTCTTGAATAATAATAAAAACTTCACATCAAAATGTTGTACCTATCTTATATATAAAATTTATGTACTTTGTTTAAAAAAGATTTATCATTACCTGGCCAACTTTTACTAACGCTATCATATAGAGCAAGTACCACGTTCAACTATCTATACGTGTAATAATTGATACCAAGAAAATAACAAAGAAACCGAACAATAGCATCTGCAATACAAAGACTTGCCTACAAAACGAAATTACGAGAGCAATTCGCTCACCTAATAGCTTCACCGAGCGACGCTGTGTCACCAAAAATTTGCATTGAGTTAGCTGAAACAACTTAATTACCAAACGTAACAAATACAAAGTCGGTGAAAACGACAAGGTTGTTATGTTTAGAGCTGTCGATAGTTGAATAGGACTGTGTCGCAATAAGAGTTGAGTTGGTTAAAGCGATGCGCGATTGTTGCTGGTCGATTTGGAAGGCCGTGCTCAGTAGGCCCCGCCTCTTGGGAGGCGCATTGCTGCCTCGGGAGCTAACACAGGCGCCCGAACGGAGCGGCGCGTTTGATCCCCCCCTCCCCGCGACGCAGGCGCAGACCTCGATAGCGCAGCGAACGCACACAGACTCATAACGCTCCGCGCGCTCTCTCAAGCCGGTTGTCAGTCCACAAACCGGTTTGGCAGTGACGACACAGTGTTGATACCAAAGTGCTGAGTAAAGTGCCCTAGTGTACGATTGTGTGGATTGTTTAGTGGAAATGGAAGACAAGCCGTACAGTGTTGACTCTTCGGATGATATCAATATAGAAGAGGAGGAAGAGCACATAGAGGATAATCACAGTAAGTCTTTTCAACTATCTCTACATTTCTATGTTGCCTATGCTAACTTTTTTGATTACTTTTTGATGCCAAAATATTTGCAATAACGTAGCTGGAGTCTTTCTTGGGAACACATTAAAGTAATTTAATTTCATAGCTAAAATGTTTTGACAATATTTTTGAGACAGTTATTTTTTTATAATAGAGATTCAATGTTAATGAGTTTTAACTTTGTTATATTTTTTTTAATGTTATGTTTCCTGATGGTAAGCAGCCACCATAGCTTCATAGACATTTGCGTACCAACGCTACCATTAAATTGGTGAGATGTGAACTTTATATAGTTATGCGCGTCTTCACTTAATTTCTTTTTTATCTAAAATACTTCGAAATATTTTAGTGTCCATCTATGATCTCTTATTGATATAAATACTGAATGAATTTTTTTAGGGCCTAATTTAGACTTTTCTAAATAGCTTTTTTTTATTTATCCGCAGGTTATCCACCGGACTTCCCGATCGAAGCGTTGGTGAAGCTCGAGCGTCCCTCGCCTCCCTTACCAACCCCTCCCCACACGCCCACAGACGACACGCCTCCCGCAGTCGTTATCTCAAGGCATCAACCGGGTTGGACCCCACCAACCCCGCAACCATACCCCTACCCAAGGCCAGCCATGCAGACCCCTTACCCTTACGACAAAACCCCAGTACCTACCTACGCGCACCCAGCGATGTCCGCGTACATGCAAGCCCAAGTCGCGACTTTACCACCCTCAGCCCCCTACCACGCGATGCTCGTCAACCAATGGATCAGAAACGCAGCTCTCTACCACCATTCCTTGAGATACCCTGGTGTAATGTCGCAGAGGATGCCCGGCAGAAATCCACCGCCGATGAGAGCACCAGGCGTTCCTGGCGCGAGGCCTAAGAAACAATTCATTTGCAAATATTGCAATCGCCAGTTCACGAAGTCTTACAATCTCCTTATCCATGAGAGAACTCACACGGACGAAAGACCGTACTCCTGTGACATCTGCGGCAAAGCGTTCAGAAGACAAGACCACCTAAGAGACCATAGGTAAATATCTTTCGAAGTTATCTTCACTTGTATCAACTTTATTGGCTCAAGTTTCATCTGCCACGACCATTCATTTCAATAGATTGAGTGCTTTAGATTTCTCCGATAGGTGGGACGCTTTTAACAATCAGTAATTATAATTATCTAAAATACTTCAAACTTAATTTAATGGTCCCTTTCTAATATCAACAACGTGGTTTAGGACGTGTTCGTCGAGGTTTTGTCGATGATAAGAGAGAGAAAAAAAAATCAAAAGTGTAAACCTTTTTGTGAGGTCGCGAGGCGGCGGCCGCACGCGCTCCTCAACCGGTTTGATTCTTTACGATCACCATACCGGCGAACAAATTACACGTTATATTTCTTCGCTTTTACGAGACAAACTTACTTTTTCTTCTCTCACGTCGCGGTCTGTATATATTAACAATCTAACATAAAAATGTCTTGATTTTCTTTAAGAGAGGTCATTCCTGTGTCTCGTTATTGAGATATAAATACTATTTGACCTGTTATAACATTGTCATCAGGCTAATGTTGACTTAAGTATTTGTTTTTATTTTTCCAGGTATATCCATTCAAAGGAGAAGCCGTTTAAGTGCACCGAATGCGGTAAAGGCTTTTGTCAATCCCGGACATTGGCGGTACATAAAATACTGCATATGGAAGAATCTCCCCATAAGTGCCCTGTCTGCAACAAGAGTTTCAATCAAAGATCAAATCTCAAGACGCATTTGTTGACGCACAGTGACGTCAGCAAACACCATTTGGACCATCTCGAGGGTTGCCAAGAGGTGTCTTCGACGAGTCAGGTCTCGGACAATTCCCTATTAGATCTCTCGCATAAACCGTCGTCACCTCCAGCACCACAACATCAGCAAATCCTCGCGAGCCCTCACCAATCACCTGTAGAAGTACCTAAAAGAACTCTTGGGTTCTCTATAGAAGACATCATGAAACGTTAGACTCGTGGATCTAAATTCTAGAATAATTCAACACCACCGTAATTTTTGTAAATAGTTATTTAATTTTTCAGTTCAACTAATTAGTAAATTAAATTATTGTAATTAACTCTTGTAATTTACTTTAAAGACAATGGAAACTATGTAGAAATTTATAATTTACCAAAGAAATATCTCATCTCATCGACTGATCATCATATTGTAGTAAGGATTCTCTTTTGTAATCGCACTTGGAATTTCAAATGTTTGACATAAAATTTCTACTTAATTCCATAATATATGCATGTACCTCGTTGGTTTAGTTAATGAGGCTTGATTCAACGATCTTTATCATACACTAAAAAGACTGAAATATTGTTTTTTTAATTATTATTGTTATGTTTTGCTAGAGATTTATTTATTGTGATAACTATCTATTTTAGATTCGAGTTAGTGGATAACTAAAGTTACCTAAAAGTATTACCATTTCGATCCAAATTCTATAAGGGCATGTTCAAATTGGGATATATGTACCCTTCTTTAATTGTGTACCTAATTAGTACAATTTGATCTAGCTAGTTGTTTAATTCTGTACATTCCTGTAAATATCTTTAAGTCGTATAAGTCAATAGCTTGTAAGTATATGAGGCTACACATAGAAAATTTAAATATAAAGAAAATGATAAATATGAACATTATAAATGCTGGTTTTATTTAAATCACACCTAAAAATATCCAAGAGGATTGATTATTTTGATTTGACGAAAAGTACATAATAATAATAATGATTGGTTACTTACTAATCTGAATAGTGAAGGGGCCAAATGGCGTCTAGGATTCAGGAATTCAGAGTTCCGTTTCAAACGAGTTATTAGGAAAACATGTTTTGTAATATCTAAAATTTCAACATTTGTTATAACAGCTAATATAATACAAAATTAAAATAATTCTTTATATGTCGGCACTTAACTTTATTATTCACAATTAAAAACTCGAAAGAAATAATTAGAAATGACTTAGTGAAGAATATGATTAAAATAATGGGATTGAGTATCTTGGCAACATTGCCCAAGTATCTAATACTTACACAAAAATTTTGGGCCAATGAATATTTGAGAAGACACATTTGTTTAATTTTTATAAATATATAAACCACCATATTAGTCTCAAAACCAATAAACTCTTATATAGGTAATCTGAAATGGCAAAAATAATGTAGACATTCAATACCCGCTTCTTATTCTTCTATTAAATGAATTATTTTAATAGGTTCAGTATTTTAATAATATTTAATCACATAGTTCCGTGATTAATTTTTTTTTTATCAAAAACAACTAATTTTATAATCCAGTAAAATTCAAGTTAGTTTGAGTACCCATACAAATAAAACACAGGCATGCAAATACACAAATGTATAAAGCCTCTAATACTTATATTTCTAAAGGGGACAATAAAACCTTTTTCGTTATGTATGTTGCGTGTTCGTCTATCTGGGCTATTAGAGAGTGACCCATAGAATATTACGGCAACGTAGTTCGTGCTATACCAACACAGTCATTACGAAGATAATTCAACACACAAAATTAATTATAATTCTAGGTTGTGTGCCGCAAATAATATTCGGAGATTATGCGTGGTCGTTTCGAAAGGAGACAGTCGAAAATTACATGTTTGTAAATACATAAAATGAAAAATTTAACTAGAAGAAACTATTATTAATATTTTCTATTGATCGGTGTGAGTAGGAATATAATGATATCGACATAAATTGCTTAAAAGTGAGAATATTGACACAGAAAACAACAATGAATATTAAAATGTTAATCCTTTTAGCAACATATAATAAATAAAGTGTTTGTAGGCCTCACTTCTTTAGTGAGGTGAAAATAATGAAAATGCGTTTAGGCATACACGGAATAATTATGTCAATCAATTAACAAAAGAATTAATATTATGATCAGACAGTATAATTTAACTCGTACTACGCCAAAAGTAAGCTAATAAACTGTTACTTGTGTGGCGCCATCTAGTGCAAAGTGTTTGAACTGTAAAATGTCCCTTGTCGCAACGCGATGTCGCTACTCGTCTCGTCGTATCTTATGAACTGGGGGTCTATTCTCTTTTTCCGAAACGAATTATCGATAACGAAGTTCAAGCGAAATTTAATTTCGTAAATTTAAGGTTATACTTAATTTGAACGATAAGCTATTAAATAGATGCTTTCTTTGAGTAGGCTTAGAAAATTTACACCTCAATCTATATTCCGACGACGAATATTATTATAATTAAAAACGAACCAGAAACAGAAAGTGCGAAGTTGCGATCGTTGAATTAGAGTAGGCCGCCTGGTCTTTAAAAAAATATTAAAGTTCTATTTTGTTGATAATTTTTAAATTTAGGTTCTTTTGGCAAATTAAGAAATATAGTTTTATAATTTGTAGACTCAAATAGATCATCTGGGCAGTTTATTTATTCCAGTTTTATTTGTTGAATTTTTGATTCGGAATAATAACAATGAACAGCAATTTAGAAAGATACCTTAAGCACCGGTATAGCTATTTTGTTTGTTAGATAATAGTAGGCATTAAATCAGACAGAAAAATTACTCCGAACCCTAACTAAATTTTCGTCCTCGACGCCGAATTCTTTGTAACTGATTGATGTTTGAAGTTTAACAGCAATTTGGCAGTCAATGAAAATTGCAACGATTCCGTTTGATTACATCTCTAATCGTTGGAAACGTTGTTTCACTCGCAGATCTGTCGAATTCCCAGCACTATTTCGTTTTAAGCTTCCCAAATATCCCCAATATTGTTTTATATTCCCTTTTGGTCGAATTAAAAGCGATTCACGAGAATTAAAGTCGAATTTGGACGGACCAAGGGTCATATTTCAAGTTATTAGGACTGTCAGCCACCTTGCCGGCGCAATTGTGTTGATTTATATATAAATCGATATGATTTATCGACATTAATTCAGGCAGTTCTATTCAATCAATGATGATCGATATCGTTAATAAGACTAAGGTCTAGTTTTAATCGTTTGTTTTATGATAGCAAAAGGTTTGAAAAGATATAGGTAGGTACAAGTTAGTAAAAGATGAAAAAGGTTTTCTTTAGTATCAAAATCTACCATCGTAAATCATCTTAACTGTAGGTTTTGTTGGTGTTATAGTTATTATAATTTATGTACATATAATAATTGAGATAATTTTTAATGTTGTTGTGCTCGATGAGAAACTTGTAATTTTTAAAACGACATTATTGGTTCATGTATACACATATTAAAATTGTTAGAAATTAGTATGCGTCAGTAATGCTGTACTTAAATGAACATTATCATTATTTACGAAAATAACAATCAATTAAACAACATTAATTATTATAATTATTAAATTACAGTCACATTAATAATGGTTAAAATTATTCAATTAAATTACTATATTAATGAATATTCAAGAGATGGGTTGGTAAACAAGTTTAAAATATATTTATATCTACGTAAAAACCGACGTAACAACGTTAGTTTTACTGATTTGCGAATTGAAATTTCGAAATGTGCCTATATCATCATTCATAAGGTATTATTTGATTGTAGAATATAAGTATTTGTAGCAAAACAAATTATTATAATGATGATTGTCCGAACTAAGGACTTAGTACTCACTCCAAAAATTTGATAGCACTACACAAAATCGTTGAATTTAGTAGGATTTTCTTAAAGGCTTATTTTATTGTTGGAATAGAAAAAATCTTCACAACTAACACAAACAATGTTTCATGTATTGCAACTATTTGCAAAACCTCCTTTAATTTGTTTATTTTTTTTTAATTAACGTTCTGTGAAAATGCCGACTACTTCTACTTCTCTCCTACTTCTGACTCTAGTCTACTTCTAAACAAAATTTTACTAAAAAATATACACTCGGACTATACGAAACACACAGAAACTATATCTACTTCTTCGGTGCATGAGAGGTACGTTTTCCATTCGGATTAGAGCGCGCGTCTGGAGAATCAACCTACTCCTTACAGAAGATCACGGTAAAATAACACTTCTTTTAGTGGAGTAAGTTTCCAGGTCTCCAGTGAGGGTAGGGAATTGGGTCAGGGTAGGTAATGGTGTGAGTGATATTTTCGGTATTGCAAGCGTATATCTAGCCTTTGATGGCCACTCACCATCAGGCGGGCAAAATACTTGTTTGAGATCCTTTTAACATAAAAAACGAGTGTGCTTATGCCCACACGACTGATGTCAAAACTTATTTTCATCCCACCACCTCGGAAAGTGTAATTTTGCGCTTCGAAATCTGGCTGGAAAATTCTATTTTATTCGCTTGAGCGGCAAAGTAGATTTGAATTTAGAACATCACATATAATGAGTACTCAATATAATTGTAAATTCAAAACGTCATTAAACCTATTTAATGTAACCTCTATGGTGCCAAATTTATGATTAGAACTTTTTAAATTGTGAAAAAATTTAAATTTGGAACCTTCTTGGTTTCTTTGTTTTATTTGCGTGCTTCGCGCCATTCTAGTTTTTCACGTTTTATTGCTTAATATAATTAACATAACCTAAAAACTGTACAAAAAAATCAACTAAAATGAGTGACATTAGCGACGATGAAGTTTATCTAACGCCAACTGAGTTAACTGAAACAGTTAATAATGCGCAAATGAGCCTTCTCCCTCAGCAATCACGAGAGAAGTATTTGAAACAGTACGATATATTTAACATGTGGCGACTAGCTAAAGGAGCAAAAACTTTCTCCGAAAACGTTTTGCTGGCATATTTTATAGAATTATCTGAGACCAAGAAAGCAAGCACGCTATGGAGTACGTATTCAATGCTAAAATTAACAATTAAGATGAAGAAAGACGTTCATATCGACACCTATCATAAATTAGTGGCATTTTTAAAAAGAGCCTCATCTGGTTATAAACCAAAAAAATCGAAGGTTTTCACAGCATCTGAAATTGCAAAGTTTATTAATGAAGCACCTGATTCCGTATATTTAGCGGCAAAAGTAAGTCAATACGTGTAATTTTTTGTTGTTGATAAAATTGTACATAGTACTTACAATATTTTTAATTTGATTAATTTATTTACGATTATAAATACTTCTTTTGTTACAGGTTGTTCTTATTATTGGTATAACCGGAGCATGTCGAACAAATGAACTTACACTACTTAATGTCAATAACGTATCAAAATATTCTCATAATTCTGATGAATTGCTATTAATTAATGTACTAAATACCAAGACAAAAAAAGACCGCAACTTCGTTATTCGCAAGGAATATGTAAACATTGTTCAGAAATATCAAGCTTTACGTCCTTCTAACACCCCAATTGAACGATTTTTTCTACAATATCGCAACGGAAAGTGTATCCGACAACCTATGGGTCAGAATAAAATTGGCAGTATTCCACGAGAAATAGCAACTTTTCTCGGACTTTTAGAACCCCCGTTATACACCGGTCACTGTTTTAGAAGAACCTCAGCCACACTTTTGGCCGAATCAGGGGCTGATCTTCTATCGCTTAAGCGCCATGGAGGCTGGAAGTCTAATTCGGTTGTAGAGGGATACATAGAGGATTCAATCCAAAGTAAATCAAAAATTTGTAATAGTATCGTGGAGGCCATAACGCTGAAAGAACCTCTGTCAGATTCTTGGTCTCGCCCTTCTACATCTAA